CACTTTTATTGGTTTTTGATTATGTCAAATTTAATGACGCAAATTTGACAGTAATACAAGCTTGGCGACATGGCTTTCTGCTTTGAAAAAATTTTTAAAATGTTAACAGTAAAGCTTGTTTCACTTGGTTTCTCAATAAATTTACTTCAAATGTATTGCCATAAAATGCTATAAAAATAAAATGACAACCACTTTTATCACTTTTACTTCAACTGTCATTAGACTTGACAAAATGCGAACCGAACTTTATAATGGTAATGCACCAAAACCTTTACTGGGGATAGATATTTATGTTGACATACCTTGAAATTAAGATATGACATTATTCCAAATCGCAAGCTGATCCTGAGAAATCTTCGAAGATATAAAATTACAAAACAATTTAAGAGAGAATGGCTGACAATTCATCCAAGCACTCCAAACCAAACTCTATCAGTTGGCCACAAACTTTTTCTTTAACCAAACTCGGCAGACATCATCGAAATGGAAGTATCGAGCTGATGAGAGATCTGTATCAATATTTACTTCGACAATCAGTGAGCAATAAGAGAATGCTGCTGCTCGTCATAACCCACAACTCGGTGAAACCAGTAGTAGTCTCCACTATATAATACTCGTACTTTTTAGCTCAAAACAGTAGACCTGTAAAAATTAGCAAATCCAACCAACTATGGTTGAAGCCAGGCAGAAGATTCAATAGATCTTTCGTTTTTGTGAAGCAGTTGCTTCCACACTATGTTTCCCCTAGCAGAATAATAGTAGTAGCTGTAAAAATCTAATGTTCCTCACTTTCACTATGCACAAAAATTACATTGATCTTTCGGAAACGCAAATGGCAACTTCTTTCATCATATCCGCTTATGTCTGAAACTGTCAACGAGCTCGGCCGTCAATTTTCACACCTATCCAACTTTCTTCGTACAGCAAATCGTTATCATTCCACAGCTTTCGTATGACATTTTGCAAAAGTCCTAAGCTCCACAATAATTTCACACGTCCACACGGCTGTCCACTAAGCTGACGGCAACTCATAATAACCGTCCAGCGTCAACTTATTAATTTCTAATAAACTAGCTTTCGCCAACAATTTCAATTGCCACTAACAGAATTAAATTTTCCTATTTTAGACGCAAGTTATATTTGTGTAAGACACAACGGCCGACTATTTAAGATGCTAGCGTGGCGGAAAAGTGAGCAGTATAAAATGGAAGACAAAAAGCAAAGCAAAGAAACTGACAAACAAACCGAGCGGATGTTAAAAGGGAAACGGATGTAAAACTTTTCTTTAATTGTACAAAAATGCTGTTTTATTGCTGGAAATCCGGCTTAAAAGGATTTTCTATAAAAAATAGATTTATTTTCCATGTCAAGAAAACTTATTGAGCGCATGAAAGCACTGAACGTAAGTAGAGCGAATTTTCTGGGATTATGGCGCTCAAGTTGTAAAGGAGCTTAAAAAAATTTTGTTGGAATAAAATGCGCGATTTGAAGTGAAAAATAAGTTAGAAGTACAGCTAGCTAGAAGAAAAGCTTTTCTCAGTTGTTTTTGATAAAGTGTTTTTGGAGGTATTGAAATTTTATAGAATAAATATTTAAAAATTTTAAAAATGATCGCTTTTCACTATTTCAAGCTAGTAGAACCAGCTATCGGTCCAACTTGGCCCTACTTACTCCAGCATTGGCTGCTTTCCAATTGAAAAGAGAGAATTGCTAATAAGCCATTCACCATTCCATTCAAAAAAGTCTAAGGGCTCTATACCATACGTAAACGGCAAACACATGTCAATACTTTGACAGTACATTTTACAGCTATCCCTCTGGAAAGTTATATACCTCCAAAAAAACTTTGAAGATCTTTATTCAGTCTTTATGGATTACAAATACACAAAATATAAGTATACTTTGACAGCTTGTTTGACAACTAAGATATTCCGAACACCTCAAAAATACCCTCACAAAAATACAGCTAATAAAAAAAAATATGTAATTTGTATTTCTAACTCTCAATGGCCAAACATTTTAACAGATAGTCTTAACTGACAGCTCATTTGATTGCTAGCCCGCTAGGAAACTTTATACCTACCAAAATTTGGAGACCTTTTTTCCATCTTTACAGTTAGTAAATACCTTATACATTAGCTTACTTTGACAACTGGTTTGACAACTGGTCCCCTTAAGATATTCAGAACCTCTAAGAAAGGATAGAGAATGCTCTATATCCATAATATATTCAAATATATATCATAGCTATTTCTGCCTCTCATTGACCAAAAATCTTTGGAGATAGGCTTTACTGATAATAAAAATACCCAAAACATGAGTTTACTTTGTCAGTTTGTGTGACAGTTATCTATTTGCGATATTCCAAACCTCCCCAAAAACACCGCCTATTTTCATAATTTCAAAAACAGCTATTCCTGACTCTCAGTTACGTCACTAAATGCAATTATATTGCTGCGGCCTTTAAGTTATTTGTAGGTGACTAAATTTGTGGCGTCGGTAAACCACAAACAAAATTTTGCATTAAGAATTCTAGGAATTTGTAATTAGTAAAACTGAGAGTTCACATCAACACCGATGCTATTTTAAGTGACACTTGCACACAAATAAAAGGTGGATAAATAAATTAAGTCCGAAAATACCTAAAAGTGAATAAATTCAGCTGCTATTTTTAGCATAAATTCAAAGTAAAATCATTTCAATACTAATGCATTTTCGGTGTTTAATCAATTTGGCAACTCGACAATGAAAATGGCTGACAATGGACAATATTTTTTTTGCGCGCTTAAGTGAATGAAATGTGTTGACAGCGTTGGCCTTAAAATAACGAAATATTTATTCAGCGATATACATATATATATGACTATATAATTTAGTTCTTAATAGTTGAAGCACTTTAAAGTTTCATGTAAAATTTTAATCCGACTTGTTTAAAGTAATTCGTATTACATGGAATTCAAATTCGTATTTTGACAAATAATGCTATGTATTATACATAATGGAATATAGTGCAAAGAAGGCGAGAAAATACTGTTTTTTCTGTAGACAAAGATATTTTTATTTCGTGTTGATTTCATCGCTTTCATGCTTGCAGCTGCGTTATGTGTTTGGCCTTAATAATGTATGTAAAGCAATTTAAAAGTTTGGTGATAATTTCTAATCTGATTTGTGAACACAGAATTGGAATTACAATAAGTATAAGCGCTAGAAATACTTAAACTTTTGATCTTGTTTGTGTTAAAAGGCACTGCGAATATAACATGGCCTAACTAAGGCATAACTAAGTGCATAGTGAGACAAAAACAAAGCAATTAAAAGTAAAGAATCTTAGTCAATATTAATATGACACACTTAATGATATACTAAAAGTTAACTTTTAATTATAGATGAACACCAATTTTAAAATTTTGTGGTTTGACAACAATTTTATTTTAATTATGTATTTTATTACAATTGATGTTGTCATAAAAGGCAACTTTGAACTCTTTTTATTGCATATATGAAAACCAGAAGTTTAAATTTTTAAGAATGAGGTTGCCACTTTTCAAAAAAATTTGAATTAAAAAATATTTATTGATAAACTTATTTTTTAAATTTTTATAAAACTAAATAAGATTAAGAAGCTCTGCAGTTGATATTTTTAAAAAGCGTTGCCACATTTTTTATTCAAATTCATTTCTTTGAATACCATGGTTGTTTGGTATTATTTTCAGAAAACAATTTTTTTAAGCAGGTGCCAACTAAAATTTTTAGTATTAGAAATATTTTGTGCTAGTATAGTATGAAAAAGGTTTTTACGTGACTTTTTTTACCAAACATTTTTAATTTTAATTCTACAAAATAAAAATTAATACAGGTGGCAACCCCTAATTTGTTAATATTTACAAAAATACTTTGTGTTGGTTAATTGACAAATACTACGGTTATTTTAGAAAAAATTTAATACAAGTGGCAACCCTTGTTTCTTGCGTATTAGAAATATCTTATGGTGGTAGAATTGCCTTTTTTTAAATGTAATAGAGGTGGCAACCCTTATTTTTCTTAAGTATTAGAGTTACCTTATGGTGGCAGATTAACAATTAATAAGGCTAAAAGTGAGCTGCTGAACAAAAAAAGATTTAAATTATAAAATATTATTCACTAATTTATAAAAATTTAAAGCAAATAATTGCAAAATTGGAAATTTCAAAAATATTTGCAAGAAAGCTGTAAATTTTTCGCGTAATAACAAACAATCAGCAGTTTTTCAGTTAAATTTCATATATGAAATTAAAGTATTAAGATTTATTGCAACATTCATGCAACCACAACCGCACTACAAATGCCACTAATGACATAACACATGCATGCGCCTTTGTGTATGCTACGATTTACCCGCATATTCTTATTGAATCGTTACATGAATTTCGATTTCAATAACAAACGCCTCATCTCATGCTTGCGCAAGCAGGAAGAAAAGTGCATGAAAAGCACACACATATACATATATATGCACACATATACACATATATTGACACATATACACATATATTGAGACATACACACATACCAATGTGCGGTGCGAGCATTTATCAGCAAACTTTGAAAAGTTTTTCGTTACAAATGTCATTGTGTTACACACCATCCGCTCCGTCACTTACTGACTTCCTTCCTAGCAGCAAATCTTTGCGTCCTCTACACTCTCGGTCAACTATATATGTGGCATTTAACTTTTGGAAATAGCAAAGTGCGCGTATTTTTCGCGAAAACTTTGCGTCACCAGTCAATACCTTGAATATATGAGTCTATCTATGTATGTATTTTGCCTTTGCACAAACAAACAACAGAACTTTTGAAGGCATCAATTTCGGTGACTTTCTTATCTCTAGCGCTATTTAAGGACTTTAATAGATACTATAGATGAAAATATACTTATATTCATATGTATATGTAAGTGTTTGTATGTACATATGTGTACGCCAAGTATTTACGGGTATCATCTGCTTTTCATCTACTTTTAGGCTGGTACGAGGACAATTGGTACGAGGTGAACTTGGAAAATGAGGGTATCACTTGCACGATAGAACAGATGCGCATTGCGGCCGAAGGACATCTTACAACGGAAGCGCTTATGTGGAATCAGAACAATCAAACGACAATTTCCGGCATGACAGCTGAGGAATTTCGGTGAGTTTGCATTTTCATATAACAAGAAAACTGTGGTGCGGGTGGCCATTTATGTTAGGAAAAGTTTAAGAAGTTCATGGGTTGAGATCGTATTGAGAAATAAAATTTTGAAGAATTTTTTATTTTTTAAAAATATTATACTTAAAATTAAAAGCCTTCCGCTAGGTGACGCTACTATTTCTTAAATTAATAACTGTCCATTTTAAAAAATAGATGAGCAGGAAGAGTTCAGTATTCCAGCTTTTGCTTTGCAAGTTAATATAAGCATCTATTCCAGTCGTATTCTGAAGACCTGCGCTTCTTTTGATTGATTTATCGTCTGCTGAACCTGGTACTAACTACGGGAAAATAAAATGGTCGAGTTCGAGCACTTACATTAGGTTAGGTTGTAGAGCTGATCCTCGCACCAAAGGTAAGGTAGGATCCCATTGGGCAGCTGTGAATTCTCTTACTTTGTGACTTCCAAAACTCCCAGATATAGATCCCTAGGAAATTTTATAAATCGACAAAGCGGTTAAAGTCAACCTCACGAAATTATTCACCAGGTTCGCCAAAAGTGTAGAAGAAAGTGTCTAGATGATTCTACCTCGCTTTCTTCATACAGCTTTGGCTGACCAGATATGTAAACTAACCGCACGTGAGCTTATAGGACAGTGCCCAGTCAGAACATATGCGATGGTGGCGAGATTAGCCTTGCGAAAGCAAGTAGTTTAGAGGACAGCTTGCATTCGACTTTGGGCTCTCCAACTCTAGAGCGCAATAGGACAGCAGAGTACCGACTCGTTGCCAATTAGTGAAATTAAGATAAGGGGGCCCTCACCAGCAACTACATCGGACATGGCTTTTACTGAAGTGCCTAATTCATATGATTCGAAACCCCCTATTTATTTCAATACGGAGAGACTTTCAGTGGCTATCTTATCTGACTTTTTTTAAACAATGAACAATTACTACATATTCATTTGAGTTTTTCGGTACCGTAACTAGTCTAATTTTTCCTCTCATTTCAGACAACGACTGAATCATGCGCTTATCGAAGAAGGTTACGACATCAATCACGATCGCTATCCGGAGGGCTATCAAGAGGCGCCGTTAGCCTACGATGCTGTCTGGAGCGTGGCGTTGGCATTCAATAAAACAATGGAGCGCCTCAAGCAACGACAGAAATCCTTACGAGATTTTACATACACAGACAAGGAAATTGCCGATGAAATTTATGCGGCAATGAATTCTACACAGTTCCTTGGCATATCGGTAAGTAAACTAAAGTGGAGGAAAGCGGTATTAACGAAAATAAAGCAATGTAGCTGAAGGGCTACAACACAGACAGTTGCGAGACGCAAAGTGTCTATATTCGACGATATTAGTTTGTAAGCTCACTTACATATCTGTCTTGATTGAATTGCAAGCATTAACATTAGCTTTGTTGCAAGTAGCTCCGTAGGCAATGTTGACTTGAATCTTTGTGGTTTTGTAGACAATTCATTTTTGTGTTGCTTTGGCAGGTAAAATCTTGAGGGGCAGCAATCGAATGGAAAGGTGATTCTTGACTTGAGGTACAGTTCAAATTTACATAAAGTGAATGCTAAGCAAAGAGAAGAAAATGTTTGCTTTATTAGGGTTAGTATGTTTCGTATCAACGCAATTATTGACGTTACTTTTTTGGTAATCCCGAAATTTCAGGATTTGAAAATAACAACTTCGGAATCCCAAATTTTTTCGTTACTGCAGTATGAAAAGTAAATTTCTGACAGACTTGTGTTTCAGACTGAAGACGTATCCTATGGTGGGGTTTGGCATTTTTCAAATTCGGTACTCAAGCCTTAGCACATAGAGAATTTAATTAACATTTTACACACTGATATATTAACTAACTTTCATTTTTTGATTTAAGCTTTTATGATCTTGGTAATAGAAAATATTCGGGATTAACAATTTCGGGATCCCGAAATTTTTTTTTTTTAATTCCAGCCAAAAAGTTTAGTGATTTTTTGTGGCTTAAACGTTTATTATAAGCATTTCAATAATTGGTTGTTGTGCATTGTAGCCCAAAAATACCTTAGCTCAAAATGTGCCAATCTTTTTTAATGGAACTTTGTTCGAAAGAGATGTTTTGTTCGCATATCTTTGGCTGCAAACTTGGTAGGTTGTTCATTCCAAGGTGTTATCTAATGATTTGGTTGAATTTCAACTTTCATGATGATCAAAACCTAAAAGCCCATAAAATATACCTATACATATTTTATTCTTCAATGGAATTTTAGTATTATAAGATTTTTTATTCCAGCCACCATTTTTAGTGGTTTGGCTTGATTTAAACTTTTATGATCCTGGGAGTCCCGAAAAATCGGGATCGACTATTTCGGGATCCCGAGATTAAGTTATGTGAGTCATAACCCAAAATACCTTATGCTTTAAAAACACCAATCTTTTTCGATGGAACTTTGGTACAAAGAGGGGTTTAATTTCAGCCACTATAACCTGACTTTCACAATAAAAAATCACACCCGAATGTAAACCTCTTCAAAATAAAAAATTATCAAAGGACACAACTCTTTAGAAGTTTAATTTACAGTATTAGTTAAGTCCAATGTATGTACGTATGCATGTAATGACTCCACAAAGTCGAACTGCAAATTAAAGTCAATGCTTATGCACAACTAATTGCAATTAAGTGTTGTTGAAAATTCTCAAACTCCCATGCAAGAGTTTATAAACTTAACACACACATACATATCGACAAAGCTATTGGCATGGAAACTAATGAATATGAATATGCCAAAAGCTAATAACTTCTCATATTTTCAGTTATGCAATTTTGCCAAATGATGCAAGCACTAAGTTGCTGTTTGCTGTTTTAAAGTTTTCGCATAGATATTTGTTTTTGCAGTTGTTTGCATTCTTCATATAACTACATGTGTCGATTTGTTGCCAATATTTGCTTCATTTTGTAAGCTCTCGGCAGAGCTTTTGTCATGCAATTTACACAATGTATTAATTAATTTTGAAATTGGCAGCAAATTAGAGAATTACATGTATTTTGCGGCCTTTGTGGAAGGCGAGAAATCTGAAAGCGTGGCACTTCATTTTCTTAAGTCAAAATTGCTCTAATATTTATGCCTGAGAATACGGAATATTTTCTTGGTAGCCAGTTAAAATCATACCAAACACGGGAGTAATGAACACTTAGAGATGTTTCCGACTGTTAACTATCGCGGTTGATCAGAGCGATTAAGAATAAGAAGCCAAGATAATTATTTCCATCAAGTAGCCTTTCAGCTCAGCTAATTGAAGAGAGATAAAAAATCAAATCAATTATCAGATTGTCCTCTAGCGCTGAAGTGTTGGATCTACAGACCTGCAGTGAGTTTGGCAGGCGGTGGTCAACTTGTGTGGCTGCGAGATCTTGCTGGCCTAAGGTGAAGCGCAAAAGGCTCTTTAAACAACTTGTTCTTAGCATGGTTCATCTCGCCGGTATGATGGTAGGGGCTCTGACTGGACTCACATTCGATGAAATATTTTTTCGGACACAAATTGGCAATACTGGCCGGAAGAAGGCGAGTTCTAGCGTTCACAACTGCCCAAGTGAGATCTTACGTTACCTTTATAGTCAGGATTAGCCCTAGACTAACTCAATGATGTCTAATTTGTTCTCGCTGGAAATAAACGTGGTAGAATATTGCTAGTTTCTTCGACAAAGAAGTCAAATAGACATGGATGAATTTAGAAAAATCAGCAAAGACAATCTAACGAAAGAAAACAAGAGCGACATCTACTGAAACGAAAACAGTCCGATCTGCGTAAGCAGAAAGTACCGGGATTTATGGTAACTCTATAGTATTCCACAAAATAGATACAATATAGTAGATATAGTAGATGTATTTATTGTATGTTGTAGTGCTCGTACACACAAACTTTTCAGTTGATAGTCTAAAGTTAAACAAGGGTTCCCAACAAAATAGGCATTTTTGTGAGCATATATTTTTGCGACCCGACAAACAGAACTGAATTTTAGTAAGGTAGTACCTTCAGATCTACTAATTTGAATGCGCTTTTATTAGCTTTCTGAAACTATAAGTAGGCAGGATCGTTGCCTGCCGTACTCAGGCAGTAGTGTTCTTACAGGAAGCCGAGACTATATAGTTATTACAAGAACAAGATTGGCTGCCACTCTAGTGATGAACTTAGGATCTATATTAGTGCATCAGGATATTACATTATAAACTTTGTGATATGAATCAGAATGGAAGAGACTTTAGAGGATCACGAAATTATTATTCATGAGAAGTAGGTAATCGAATTGATAAGAAGACGACCTCATATGCCAAAGAAAGCCTACAGTTCTGAAAGTTTCGTTTTTATATTGTATAATATTAAGCGATCCAAGAATGTATGGAGCAAATACCAATGGAACCGTTCGTGCTTATAAGTGTCTGACAAAACTTAGTCCTCTCTAGAAATTTATGTACCGTCTTTTGAACAAATTTCAGTTACCAGTTTCAAGGCAAAATATCTAAAGACATAAATAATATGCACAAATAAATCTTTTTGGTAAAACACACTTTTTTCTAGGGAGCCACTTCCATACAGTAACATAGTTGGTACCAATATGTCAAGCCATAGTGTTATGCTATAATATTTTTCGAACAAATTTTGAAATCTCTCTTAAATTTCCGTCTAACAAATTAAAAATATGGTAAAAATTCGTACAATTGGTCAGGTAATTTATTTTCAATCGCAAGAAACTTGGCTTCTTTCTATTTTCTCACTTCTCTCTCTCACTCCACTGATGTGCCCCTCACTCATTTAAGTTAAGACTTTATCGTTTTTTGTCTTAATTTCAACTGCCCACCTTTGACACTAAACATTTACAAATTTCCTCAGCTGATACAAGTGTGTGTTTGAACTTTTCCGAAACTTTATTTGCGGCATAACGAATTTCTTCATGCAAGCAGCGCCCTCTTATGGCATTTTGGGTATATGTATACATATGTGTGTGTGCGCAATGTTAATTTATTAGTAGGTATAGCATTTAGTAGTCGCTTGTTACGAAAAGTTTGACAGCGTTAAAGTCTCGACTTTTGTGGTTTTACGTAGAAGTTTTCATGCCGCTTATCGGCTGAGTGTCAGTGGTTGCCGTTGGAGTTTCTTATTTTAATGTTAATTTTTTTGTTTTTACTAAAAAGCATTCGGTTTGATTTGGTTATTTAAGAAAGTTTATTTGAAAGGTAAAAGCAGTTATTTTTTTTCATCACCTTGTGTTTTTGTTTTACTTTGAAAGTAAAGTGGATGTAGATTGTGGCCGAGCTGTTATGGGCAAGCAGAAGAACTAATTAAGTAACTGGCTGGTTCTGGAACAGTGCTTTAGCTTTTATTAAAAGGTGTGGATATTGTCGACGAAAAGTGAGTTAGTCTTTTGCACTAAAAGAATCGTGGTAGATTTCTTTGAAATTTTAATGAGAATTACTAACTGGCTAAACTACCTCTACTCTCTTTTTGATATAGTGTGCTTTGAAGAAACTACGAAATATAAGCATCACTTTCCCATTATATAATCGCCCTCAATAATTCAAAGTCGAAGTCAGAGTAATTGTTATAACTTTGAATTATTCTAGAGCAAATACCTCCACAATAAAAATAGCAAGCAAGTTCATCTTCATCTTCATCGCATACTAATTTATAGGAAATGACAGCCAGTAAGACTACACTTTGGGATCCAAATGCAGTTATTTTTTCCACATCGTAAAAAACCAGGCCATGCTTCAAATTTAAAAAAATTTTACCAGAGATCCGCTACATTTGAGCTGACGGCTCTGAAAACATCTTGTGGAAGTCCCAGAAGATCATAAAAAGTTAACATCGTTTATCTTCTCTACGTAATCAAAGAATAATTTATGACTAGTGACACAACAAAACTAATGATGCCATACAAAGCTAATCAAGGAGTTTATGACCACATTAACAAAAGCATGAAGCTATTTCCATATTTCACAGCATAATCGCAGGAAACTGCAAAACCGATGAGTTTACAAGAAAAGCACTCTTACCCAAGGTATTTGAACGAACCGATACTTTCCTGTCCTCTTGAGTTCTGGCACAAACACTGCTCCCACTCAAGCTCTCTTTTGGAACAATGCTAATATCCGCTAATGTTACTTCAATAAATAAAAGAGTTGGGTCAGAGGTCTCGTGTTTCAAGAAGTCTGAGGTTCTCTGATCTCTGCTTCAAGGTAAATTAAATACTTTGGTTGGAGGGCTCGTGTTCCAAGAAATAAGTTCTTTAATATAGTTTATTTAAGCTGATAAACATATAGTCTTCTATAAATTCATTATATAACGCATAAGACTAACACACTTCAGATAATTCTGAAGAAAAACAGGGCAAATGCATAGCGGAAACTCTCACAAGAAATATATATAATGATAAATATATAAGATGAATGACCATGACCTTCCGCACAGCAGAAACCTTTCTGTGAAAGGGAGGACTCAAATGGAAGCAAGTCAAGAGAATAATATTCATAAATAGCATCGTTAATAAATAATAGATAATAAATTCTTGATAAAAGATAATTAAAATAGATAATCTATAATTGATAATAGATAACAGAAAATAGGTAATAAATGATAGATAATATATATGTTATATAGGTGATAGGTAACAATATATGGCTTCATACGTACGTGGACAAAAATGTCTTTAAAAGTATAGCAATAACACAAGAGTAAACCTAAACCCTTTAGGAAGAGTTTGAATGATACTGGAAATCTGGGCACAGCGTACAATGAGCTAAAAGCTGAGTATATTGTAATATATTTCTAAAGTGTCGTAATTAATAAATAATGGAAATATTACTCAACTTTCAAAAATGTCTAAATATTTAAATAAAAAGGACGAAAGCAACAAAAAGGGGCTCTAATATAATCGTAATCGCAAAGCAGTTTAGAAAAATTATTACTTTTCACCCGAACAGGAATGTATCAATACTACTTAGTGTAAATTCTTTAACTTGTTGAAAACTACATAACTTTGAGTTGTATATATTTAACAGTCATTTCTCTTTAAGGAACCCTCAAATGTCTCTGTGCGCTCCACTTCAAAATACTTACAAAAACGAGACGAGGAGCTTCACAAAGGTGGCTCAGTATTCATGAGAGCTAAACACCCTGGTGCGCAAAGAATGAAATAAAAAACTGATAAAGCGATTAGAAATGCAAAGTGTTAAGAAGTGAAATGCGATTAAAGTCCCACAAAAGTGCAATAAAGTACATGCATGTACAACAGAATGAATAAAAGGGGAATAGACTGAAATAATAAGTGCAATTGAATTAAAAAAGTGCAAGTAAAAGCAAGTAATGAAAATGAAAAAAATATAAAAAAAATAGTACGGGGTTGTACTATATTTATATATAAAATAATTTTTTACTCTTCATAGAAAAGCTGAAATGAAAGATAAAAATTGTCAGCTTAGTTGTGTTTATAAGAATATTATTTAGTGAGAAAATAGGTAAAATTTTATTCAATTACCCATTAACCGAAAATTCAAGAATCGCTATACTAGGTATATAGACAATAAAGCTAGCTCTGAACCGATTGGATCTACATTTGGAAGCACAGGAATATTTCCACATAATTATATTAAGTTTCACATATTGTTTGATATCATCGGCATAAGTTAACTACAATAACCACATTTAGTATATGGAGCCAGATCCAAATTATAGGGCTTTATAGACCGATTTCAACCATGCTCGGCACAATACTATGGTAAAGTCCAGACATTATATATATATATATTATATAATTTTTTTAAAGATATATTATGTTTTGAACGGTACTCGTAAATACGGTATTAATCGAAGATACTTATATTAGACATATCGGGATAAGCTAAGTATGCACCCGCTTTTATTCAATTACGACTCAAGAACATATTAATATATTCAGAAAAAGATTCATTAAGGTAGCATTCAGATTTACCGATATACATAAATATGGTTAAAGTCGACCGAAAGTTCGAAAATTTTAAGTACATTATTATCAAAAAAAGTTGCTTTCGGGAATAGTAATACGTTAAATTATCTCACAGGTTGACTGATATAAATGAGGTTAATTTTGACCGCAAATTCAAAAATCCGTATATTAGGTATATAGGGACTAGAGGAAGTACTGAACCGATTTTCTTAGATTTTTCACAGAAAGCGACATTATTATTAGGACAAAATGCCCATTTCATTTCACTAAGATAAAATTTCCGATTTCTCAAATTTCTAAACTTAACGTAAGGGTCTCAAGAAAAAATCGTTTGCTAAGCACCGTAAATAAATTCTCTCCAAATAAGTTATTCCATATTATTGGAAAGTAAAACTCATGTTTCAGTATCTACTCGTTGAACTATAACCTTGAATAGCGTTTGAGCGGTGAGGCCCCGATTCCCTACAAATATAAGATACGAGATAATTTTTTCAAATAGTATGTACTGAGATATGCATTTTTCTTTCCTAAAATAAGGAAAAAATATGAACCTAAAAAGCGGAGGACCTTGCTTTATTATTTAGAGCTCTGAGAGAACTTTTTTATCTATCTACCAACAAATTTTTCGTAGTATGATGTGAAAAAATACTCGATTTTTTTTACCCACCCTAATGTATTATAAATATAGATCTGCCGTAAATTGCGAACTTGTTAAAGTGCTTGCCACTTTTTAAGCAAAACCGGTCTGCAGCTATTTGGAAAAGTGTACAGAAAAACAAAAATTGCTGCAGAGAACACCGAACACATGCGCATACACGCGGCGATATACAAATGCATGGACCCAGTTAATGTTGAAACTCAAATAGTGGCAGCAGTCGACAGCGGCTAGCGAAGCCGCGGCAACCGGCAATCAGCAGTCAGTAGTCAGCAATGCGTAAATACACAAGTGAGAACATTTTTTGCGCCACTGTGAATTGCACACTTGCCACGCCGAACAAACCCTCCGCACAGCCAGCTAACTAAGCAGCAACAGCAAATGATAACTGTGCAGTTTCCTGCTTGACATAGCAACGGGCTGGCATATTCGACACTCCTGCGGGACCCGATGATGGTCTGTTGCATGGCACATGTCGTTCTGCCCTTTTTTCTGCCATCCGCTTATTTTACTTTTTTATTAGAGCACCAAAGGGGCGAGACTATCAATTCGCTACGGCATTGCAGGGAAGCAGCTTCTTTTTTCGGAAGCAACATCAGCATGCTTGTATACGCGGTACTTCAGCTAGGCAGTAAGTAGTTGGGACCTGCCGCTGTGTCTAGTGGTTGCATGATGTTGTTAGCTTGGGGCCTGCGGTAGATGCGGTGTTGCGTTAAAAATGCTGCATATTTTTGGGCGCAGTAAAGTAGTTACATTTTAGAACCGACATTTTCGTCATAAAACTTTAATGTTACCAACTAGACGTGCTGAGTGCAGTAATTTGCTTAAAAATTTGTTTATACAGCCTAAAAGTAGGCAATTGTTTTTTAAGAGAAAAAAAAGCATGCATGAGTATGATTTGATTATTTTCTTTACTAAACAAGTCTTTTGAACGAAAGTATAACCGGTGATTATGCCTAGTGTGAAAGTCACTTAAAAAAATTAATTTTTTTAACTACACGCGTTTTCCATCGGCGCTAAAATCAATACTACAGTGAATCCGGTCCTGAATGAAACCCAAAAAAACACATAAGATTTTCTACTAGAAGATATTGTCCGTACCTTGACCTACGCTCGAAAACAATCAAAAATTGACAACAGCGTTTTAAAAAAAGAGTCGATTTTTACTTAAAAATTTAGTCCTTTTCGGTTTCCCAATATCGATTTTTAATCGAGAGCTCTATTTGATAGTGAGCATTCAGTTTCAAGAAAAAGGCGTTTGAAGATAAACTGATGGAACTGAGAGGCAACGCTTTAAAGGGCTGTAACTCTAAAATTATTTGAGATATCGATTAAAAGTTTCAGTATTTCAGTGGCCTGCATTTAGGCGCTACAAAAAAATATATATTTTTTTCATTTCACACTAGGTGTGCACCTTAAGAAATTCGATCCTTCTTTGATCTAGAGTCTAGGGTTGAATATTTTTATTCATAACTCGGGTGCCCCATTTCTTTTAGACGTGTCAATAGAAACGTTTAGTTTCTCAACTTATGAAAGGTCTGGCCCTGGGATCGGTGCAATAGTAGCATTGAACGGATAAAGCATTTCAAAGTTAGACTTCGCTCTCGTAAAGGAATATTTATGTGCTTCAAGTAAAAGTATAAGGCAACTTACTATTAATTTTCTTCAAATTTTCACAACTTACAAGACACTTTTGAAACAAGAATACACCCTCTGAAGAAACTTTATTAAAAAATGTGCTGATCATTAATTTCATCTGAACAGCGCAACTATTATATTAAATGGAAAAGTGCTTTCTCTCGACTAACCAACACTCGGAGTCACTACATGCTGCACTTAGTACTATTACCCTCAGTAACTAACTCCATTTGCACTTTCATGAAATGTAAACTGGAATTGCCACAAATAAAAAAACTGCTTCCACTAACTAGAATATTCAAATAAAACGCAACTTTAAACAACTAAATAATGACGGTAATGCGTTTTCCACCTACAAAGGGGAAAAATTGCGCATACTGAAGGCAAAAGTAACTAAAAGTTTAAAAACAAAATTATAAAAATAAAGTCGAGCGCTTGTTTGGTGCATGAAATATAGGTGTCGAGCGCAAATGCATTCACTTTCGCACTTGCAAATGCGCAGCAAATTTATAGCATGCTTTTAAGCGAATTGCCACATACTACTGATTTACGTGCACTTAGGTGAGACAAAACACTACAATATATTGTATATAAAAATTAAATAAAAGATTTGCTAATTTTGACGATATGGCATTTCCAGTTTTAAAAATATGTAATGCTGATAACCTTGTAGTTATAACCAGGAAGGGAGGAATATAAGCAGTTCAAAATATTGAATAAGAAAAAAATCTAATTAAAAGCATAATTTTTATGTAAAATATTAAGTTTTTTTCTTAAAATTAAATATGAAGCATAATCAAATTCCCATAAGTCAAAAAAAGTCAATAAATTAATGTCTTTTTGTATTTTTACAGGGTGTCGTTGCATTCAGCTCGCAAGGCGATCGCATAGCCTTAACACAAATCGAACAAATGGTGAATGGAAAATATGAAAAATTGGGTTATTACGATACACAATTGGATAATTTAACATGGTTAAATATGGAGCAGTGGAGTGGTGGAAAAGTAAGTGCATAAGAGTATTTGTTTATAAAATGTTGTTTTTTTTGTGGTTCTTTTAAATTACACTACATAAAAATTTTAGATATAACTTTTAAGTTGAAAGCCTAAAAGACAGAGTATCTTAAATATGCGAATATGGTCAGAAGTTTAAAATAGATATAGAAGTAATATTTAATATATGACTCCGGCAAACAAGCTCCTTTTCGAGCCCGATGGGGGGTATAAATTTCAGCCAACTCCAGAACAAATTTTATTATCCAGCCATCCACGTGCGATAAAGTGAGGTACTCATTGCCATTGAACTTTAAGTTGCTATGTATTATACTTCATTAGATCCCGAAAAAACACCGAAAAACGGAATCTTAATGTTTTTATCCCTAAACTTTGTTTTACAGTTATTTATTGAATTTTCTTATCCGAACTATGTACTTAAGCCTTCCACGAACTTTTTATTTTCAGTTAAAGTAGACACTAAAATGTATACTATGTTTTTAAATAACACCTAAAAGTAAGCAATACTTAACAGACATTAGTAAAAAAGTCTGTATGTTAGGCAAATTTACTACGTTCTCGTTTTTCAAAAAATTTGTTCGAGAAAATTATAACCAAAACTGTAACTACAAGTCATTAAGATTTACACCGATACTATGTTTTTTTATACCGCATAAAAGTAGACAATATTTGACAAATATTAGTATAAAAGCAGAAAATTTTTAATACTTTTTTGATCTGCGGCTATTTTTTACGTGAAAATTATTATCCAAATATTTTATCAGTTAAAAGATACACGAAGACTACGCTATAAGTAAATAACGCTGAAAATAAGGCAATATACTACGCCTGCTAAATATCGCGCAAAAAAGGAAATATTTAACGTATAAGAAAGACTGTGTGAAAGAAAGTCGAACTCGGGCTTTTCCCGATAACTTTGATAGACAGCCAAAAGATATGCTTCTAATTTGAAATTTGTAAAAATCCACCAGCAATATCATACAAATTTATACCTAAGGACTAGGAAAAACTCTGTGAAAAAAATTTTTTCAAGGCAATTTTTTTCAAATAAAATCAATATAAATTTAATGTTGCTGTTTCGCCGCTGAATACTTTGATGCACAGCCGAAAGGTAGGCTACTGATTATAAGAATATTTGTAAAAAGTCTCTCGGCAATATATTACAAGTTTATAGCTGAGAGCAAAAGTATATACGAGATTACTGCCACATGTAAGTATAGACTGCCTAAAAGTATGCATTATAATTACTATATCTTTGAATAAAAATATTTATATGTGTTTGCTTCATTTTGCCGCCAAAAGCTGCACTAAACAGGGTCAGGAAAAATTTAAATTAGTAAAAACGAAATATTTTTCCATGAAAAAAGTTTGCAGCCCGACGAATATTAAAAACACATACAATAACTGAATTGAATTGTGAAGAATAATCAAATGACGTGTGAGAATATTTGCGCTGCTTCAAGACTTTGATTTCAAATCTGAAAAAACTTCGCTGACCTCGCCAACGAAAAGAAATGTGTACTAGAGTATCAATTCTAATCTTTAAACACTCTAAAGACCACGCAATATTCATTTCCTTTCAATCTACAAACGTCCATTAGCGTCTAGTTCAACAAAAACTCCAAATATCAGGTTTCACTCACATATGAAATTTGAAAGTCAATCATATTCGCTAGCCATTTACTTTACCAGTAAATAAAAAAGCGCCACACTTTGACTTAACAACTCAGCGTCACACCAACAAAATTGAGGTCCACATGCACATAGCTACAGTTATTTCAATGCCGGCCCATAACGAGTATATATGAAAAACAAGTGCCAGCGTCCTTGACTAGCATGTGCTTGCATATTTAAGAAAATTATTCAAATAAGCCTGCAATTCAATTCACACCGCCGCTCAAAGGCAACGGCCGAGCGCAGCACTTAGCCACTTCACAACTCATTCACCACTCACTCACTTCACGCCGAACGCTGAACTTGAGCAGGTGATAAAATGAAGCTCACTTCAATGCTCAATGTTAAGGTGGAATAAGGATTTATGCACATAGAGATTCATATATGTATATATATATATTCCAAAAGTGACTATGCAAAAGTGAGTCGAAGCTCTTTTATAAAGCCTTTTCACTAGCGACTTGCCGTTGTTGATTTGCTGACGGAAGTGCTTGAGAATAAATCATAGCTTTTTAGTCAAATTCAACACCTACAACAACAACAAAATTACAATTTCAGATTGTGTTGAAAAATAAATAAAAAGTATGCCGAAATTCCAACAACTGTCCGCTAAGCGTAGAAGAGAGAGAGATAGCGGCTGAGTAAGTGTAGAGACCATGGCGTATACGTGAAATTGAAGGATTATTTGATTTCGTGCGGCAAATGGATGTGAAAAGTGCACTTAAGCAAGCGCCAGTGGGCAATGAATTGAATTTGTCAGCCGTTGTGGAGACTAACAACAGCACGAACATATTTTCTACACACACACACACACACACACACGTAGGCGAATAAGCGATCTAATGCTGGCTTCATTTCTTGCACTCGCCTATTTTATCTATATCCACTACACACAATTTCGGCATGCCGTCGATATTTTAATAGGCGCGCAGAGTTAGACAGCCGAAGAGACTACGAAATGCCTTGCTTGCTTCGAAAAGCAGTCAGGCGCTTGTCTGTGCATGTAGGTGTGTGTATAAATGTTTATATGTAAATATATATGTATGCGTGTGTATATGTATATGTGTGAAAATGGATTCTCGAATATGCAGAGTGAAAATTGATTACACCCATGCACCAGCGACACACTCAATCTCACACACATGCACACACCCACAAAGCACCGTTAGCCAGTTATTTGAAATCGAATCGCTCGCTAACTGTTAAGCATTTCAAGTGTGCAACTGCAATCTAAAACGTATTTATAAATGTGAATGCTTCACTTTTTTTCGCTTTTACCCACTAAATTTGGTGAACACAGCCATTCGTAACACCAGTGATATGCTTGTATGTATGTGTGTCAATTTACATACATTTGAAGTTGAGTTTGAATTGCTGGCGAGAAAAAATTATGCTGCTCGATTGTGGCACGTTAGGCGCAACGGAGTGTGAATGATATATTAACGGTGTGAAAATGGTGCAAATTGCTTTTTGCGGGTTGTTTGAACACACGGGTGCAGCATAAATGTAGTGATGGCATTAGTAGTACTAGGCGCGGCGGGGCGTATACGTAATTTTTTTGTTGAGTGAATTTTAATTATTGTTGTTAGCTGGTTCATTTTGGCGGTGCAGTAGTGAGGCATTGGCATTGATATGTTGATGACAGGTGAAATGCAGTGAAATGGAGAGTAATCAGTGCTCAGACTTTGGATGAGTTGCAAAGAGGGAAAACCACCGATTATTATGGAATTATAAACCAGTGGTTACGAAAAAATTTTCAAAGGCCATTAATTTTTTTGCTTTAAAAAGAAGAAGAGTTGACGTATTTGATAAAAATTGTTGGTTGAGCTTTAATGGATTATATCAATATGTAAGATCAGTTAAATCAATAAAGAGGCTTCATTTTTTTAATATAATATATAATTTATTTATATAGGGTTGCCATATTTGGAAAAAAAAGTTTAGGAAAGAAACTTTAATAATAACAAAACAAAGAAAATCAGTTAAATTAGTACAGAATCTCAATTTTCTTTTTGGACAGGGTTGCCATATATAAAAAAAATTGTTTTTGAAAACTAAGCGATAACAAAATTATATAAATTATTCCGCACCAATGAAAAAGACTGACTTACCTATTCAGACGTTATCAGAAAATATTTATTTGGAATAGGGTCGCCATGTATTGTAACTATTTCTGTGAGATCAACGCCACATAAAGAAAATAGGCCAAAATTTTATTGTTTTTATGAATTGAAAAGTAAATAAGATAAATTTTCACATCACCAAAAACATTTCTTTGAAATAGGGTTGCCATGCACCGAGAAAATTATATGTGAGTTTATCGTTATTCGAGCAGATAGCACAACTAATATTTTCTGTTTTGGTGCTAGATGCCAAGGTTTTCTAAATCTTGTCAACAGAATGTATTATGCAAACAAAAACATTTATATTGCTGGGTATCCTGCGATTACAAAATCATGTAAAATTCCGCAACTGCAAAAGGTGAGACAGACTACTATAGACAAAGCCACAAAAAATATTTGTGGAGTAGAGTCACAAGGAGATTAAGGCCACGTAGAGAAAATATGCCAAAATTATTACTTAAAAAGTAAATGAGATAAATTTTAAAACTACCGAAAAAGTTTCCTGGAAGCAGGGTTACCAAGCGCCGAGACAATTTTTCGTGGAATCAACGCTATATAAAGCGGATAGAAAAAATAAAGCTTTTTTTTAATATTGTTTAGGCGTATATTGTACAAAATAATAAATGTTTTAAAAAGAGTTACCATATTTTCCAAATCTTGTCAACAGAAGGTATTAAGCAGACACAAATATTGATTTGTCTGAGTACTCGGCGATTATAAAATCATGTAAATTGAAACAGCAGTGAAAATGATGAGCAAGCTACTTTGTAAGTTGCATGAAAATATTAGTTTAGAGTAGGGTTGCCATGCATGTAAAGTTAGCCCAAGGTAAAAGCGTATATCTAAAAATTATGTATTTACCTCAAAACATCATATAGGCAACTATATACACATATCAATATATTTTAGCAAAATTGCTTATGGCTTAGTATATTTATAATTACAATGCAATTAATTTAAAACAAATAAAAACTCGCCATAAAAATCTTATTTTCAAAACCATTAAAAAACGATATAACAAAATAAAAAACGCAATAAAAATTATAGTTTAATTAATAATATAAATTAAACACTTTTTATTAATTTTATTAAGTAAATTAAAAAATAAAAAATTATTAGATATTTTTTTAAATAAAATTTAATTAAACATATTTACAAAAACATTGTAATACTTGTAAAAAAAACATTTAACAACATTTTTTTTTTTAATAAATTTAACAATACAAATTTAATACACAAATTTGTTTTAATAAAATTTGAAAATAAAAATTTTCGTTAATTTTTTTTACAAATATTACAACTTTATAAAAAAGATATCTTACAAAATCACAAATAACAATAATTATAAATATACAAGCTAGAACGTAAAAAAAATTTATATATTTGGTAATTTATTTTGAAATAGGTTATTGTTGTTAATTTTTTACGCATTAAAACTTTATATTAAAACATTCCACAATCTTTAAAAGAAAAAACAAAATGATGCAAAAAAAAAATTTTTTTTTGTTAATTTTTTTTATATTTATTTTTTATTTTTTATATATTTTTTATATATATTTTTTAATATTTTTTTGCTTTTTGCTAATTTTTTTCACGCATATATCGTTTAGTAAAAAGCATTTTCTCACGAAAAAATAACAAAAGTATGTATGTATATAGGTACGAATTAATAATAAATTAAAAATTTTTAATTCAGGCAAATAAAAACAAAACTATGTATGTATGTAAGTACGAATTAAAAATAAATTAAAATATTTTTAATATAGGCAAAAATTATTTTGGTTTTTTTTATTGGTTTCTCACTTTTCGTGGAAATTTTCTCCAAGTAACATAAAGTTCCTCAAAATTAATCAATCTTAGCTGCAACTATTGAATAATGGCCTACATTTCATGCGTTCCTATCAATTCTAGAAAGCTCCCACATTGCTTACTCAATAACAAAATGAAAATAACAGTTATTTCTTTCCTCTTTTACTTCAACTCTCTACACACTCATTAAAAAGTTTCGACACACACAAAGTGCATGATGTCACCAGCACATTGCAATTAATCGCTTCTTCTACTTTACTGCCATTTTGCATGATCAAAACTTTTACCCCACTGACTAGCCGCCTTGGCATTCTTCATGCCGCCCACCAAGAACTTGCGCACCGCAGCATCAATGACAGTTCGATTGCCTTAATTACTGATGAAGTTGCTCCGCTTGCTGCACAACTCTCTGTTGGCAGCTGCACATTTAAATATTACATAACCTCGTCTACCTCGGCGACTTGGTGAACTCTTTGCCGCATTTTGCATGCTCGCTTTGCGCTCAAGTTCTTGTGTTTGTATGTATTGAGGTTGACAACTGCATGGCATTGCAGTTAAATTGCTGTCGCTAGTAATTTCTTGCATGCTAATTTTGCGGCTTGCCAATTTGTGCCAATTCGTACGGTATTTTGTTTGCTCTTTCCCCCACTTTCATTTTAATTTTTGAGAGCTCTCGTTTGTTTTTTTTTTCTGAAATCTCACTGGAATAGTTTGCGCAAAAACATTTAATGGCAAAAGTCGCCAGGCATTGATTGATTTTGATCGCAGCATTTGCTTGCTTGCTTTATTTTCTTCTTCTTTCTTGCTAAATTGGGGCAGGCAAAAAATTTTATTCGACCCGCTGTGAGTGCGGGAGGGAGGACGAAATGCTCAAGTGCGGCATTTAGATGAATTTTGAATGAATGTATATGTGTCTTATTTTAATGTATGCGACTGTTAAGAGTTACTGATGATTTTGTAGAGAAAAATGGTTTGTTGAATGAGTAAAAAATGATCGCAATGAGTGTGAGGTATACGCCTAGTTCAATTGAATCCTTTTTCTGATGTGGTATTAAAATGGTAGTGTCCCAAAAATTGGACGTTCAAGCAGATTTTTCCCACGGTCCTACCTATTATAATTATACATTTTCATAATTGAAATTAGAAGAAAAGACAAATCAACATTTTTCAAAATTCTGACCTCAGTGCCATCTAGCGTATATTATTTACGGCAATATGTCGACTATTTCAAATATTAGATAAATTAGGCTATGTCTTCTCCGAAATCTCATTCAGAATAGAAGGCCAATATACTTTTTCAGATATACTGCTCACAGCGCCATCTATTAGATATGACAATATTCATTCATAAAGAAGTCAATTGATCCTTTCAGATATACCGCTCTCAGCGCCCTCTAGCCTAGATTTTTCGACTGCAATATGTCTTCTATTTATTTCAAATTATAGTCAAATAGATTAAGGTTTCCCACATAAGTACACTCAAGCTCTACTCACAAGCAAAATTATTATTTTTTATATAAATATCAAACAGGCGTACAATATTTTTATAAATTTTTTAAAAATTTCTCTCAACGTACAAAACATTTTTATAATACTTTTTTGTCTTCTATATATTTTCAGGTACCTCAGGATCGCACAATTGTACGTCGCGTCTTACGCACAGTATCCCTGCCATTATTTGTCTGTATGTGTACAATTTCAAGTTGTGGTATATTAGTAGCCTTAGCACTTATTGTATTCAACATATGGAATAAGCATAGAAGGTGAGTACTTTGGGTTTATAAAATTACGTTCAAAATATTAAAGTTTTCAGAAAAATTTGAAATCAAAAAATATTTAATATACATATAAAATTCTATTAGCAAACAGAAGTGATTAATAGACTCTTACTAAGTATACAAATCAAGCAGGTTTGCCACCCGGTCGGAAAATATTTTCAGATAAAACGACAAGTCTACGTCTATAAATAAACAAAGTGTTTATTATATAGGGTTGCCACGCTACTTTCATATAATAATATAGTTTATAAATAGTTTAAGAATATACAGTAGAGTTTTTGAAAAATAAAAACAACTGATGTCGCCCTTCTCTTTGAATGAAACTCAAAGAAAAAATCTCTATAAAAGTCCATACAGTAACCTAAGGTCGAAAAAATTAAAATTTACAAAAGAGCAGCTTTTTTAAATTGAATCTTTTCCAAAATTTTGGTTTGCATCAGATCAAAAAAGTGGTAGGTCCTTGTGTGGACTATAAATTTATGCAGAACATGGATCTTTTTACAAAATTTTCATACTATATTTAAAAAATTAAAATTAATAAAAAATTTCGGTTAATATAAGAGTAGAGAAGAGAAACCGATTTCTTACGTAATTGACAATACTACACTCCCACACTTAATATGAGTTAGAAACTACCTTCATATCATCATTTTTATTTCAAGAATTGTTAAATTGTTTCAAAGTTGCGCTACAATGGTTTCTCTCCCCCCACTTCACTGACCATCGGCTGCAAGTAACATATAACAATAAGCTATCTTCTGTACAACAATCGCAATTTTTCTATTTTCCAGCTTATCTCTGCTACAGCGACTAGAGCAAATGCTTAAGGCTCTTTAAATTGTTTCCTTTCATTAGCGCGCTGCCTAATGTGCTTAATTAAATGGAAGAGCAAAAGTGATAGGAAGACGAACGCACTAAAAGAAATATTTGCTAACTTCAGATGTTGCATTCACTGCCAATTACAAGTAAAACTGGAAATAGAAATGTAATGCAACAATGTTGACAGAAATTACAAGCACATCGTTGCATTTGACTTTAATTTATACGCTTGTCTTCTTCGCTTTGTAATACGAATGAGCGGAGCACTATACAATAGATTTGTTTGGGGGACATAGCTAGTATACACGAGGTCTAGATTCTAATTGATTACAATTTATTTAAGCAGTGAGTTCATTTGCTGCACATAGTGACTGCAAATATAGTTAGATACTGACGAACTCTATTGAAACTGCGGTTACTCATACGACATGTGTACCTCTTAGTTGAGTGCCTCAAGAGACAATATTAGTTCAACATATGCCTAGTTGAAGGCAAGTTTTTGTCTATTAAATTTAAAACGTTATTAAGAATTTCGAATTTATGTTGGACTGTGTTTTGAAAAACAACCGATTATGTATGAGTGTATGATGTAAAATCAAAAAATTATTTTAGCCTTATTTTATCAAATCAACTGTGAAAGATTACGAATATTTTTTTTTTATTATTAAGTTCAAACAGTTGCAGCTTTATTAAGACTAAAAAGCTGGCAAGAGAATTATCCCGAAAATGCACTTTGAGCTCCAATGAAAATTTATAATAATAGTTGACTAATTTGATGGTCAATACGGATAATTGGTTAAATTTCTCGACTCACAAAAATTAGTTAAAAGATTACGCCAATTTAGGAGAATCAAAAAGACAAACTTTTGTGTGGTTCAATATGCACTTTTTTGCTCAACATTATTGAAATGCTAAAATAGTGAATAAATTTCTTGTTTTAATAAAAATATTGTGGCTTTCATTGAAAAAAATTTTATATTGCTGCAAGTCAGCCATTTTGCAATAACTGAATTGAAAGCTTAAACCGTACACATTTTACTGGCAAGCCTAACGCAGAGGAAGAACTCGTTTTTAATCAGTTTCAGAAATCAAAAGTTAGTAGAATCATTACATCCTCTTGAAAACATTTCGAAGAACAATACCAAATCATAAATTATACTTTATCATGTCCTAACAAATAGATTAGAACTGCGAACAATTGATTATATAACTCCTTCTCTTTCTTTTTCACTCTCTTACTATAACTTCCACTCTCTCTAGCTTTCTCAATATCTCTCTCACTATCTCTTTTACTCTCACTTTGATTATCTTTTCCATTCGCTCTCTATCAATCTCAATCTGTCACTCTATCAATAGCTCCCAACGTTATCTCTTACACTATCTGTCTCTCCCTCTAATGCTTACTTTGGTTATTTCCCCCACTCACCCTATCTCTCACACTCTCTACCTCTTTCTCTATTTCTGCTACTCTCTCTCTTCTTCTAAATATCTCTCTTTACCACTCCCACACTCTTGATCTTTTTCTTTCTCTAAATTTATCACTCTCAATTCCACTATCTTTCTTTACTTGTCAATCTCTTTGTCTCTCTCTTTCACACTCTCTCTACCTATATATCCCTCTCTCTCTCTCACTTTTCCAAATTAATAAGAGATCTTCTTTTTGTCCTTTCGTTATCCTCGCACTATCTCGCTCTCACGCTTACTCAGACTATTTATCTCACTCCCACAATCTCTCTCTCTCTCCCTTCATCTCTCATACTATTTGTCTTTCTCTCTATCACTGCCACTAGCTCACTCTAAAAAAGTGATATGTGAACAATTAGTTATGTCTGCTCACTTCTTTTAGGTCTATTTATATTACAAAGATTCTGAAATCATCATCATCATGTTACTCCAATAAGCGTGAAATAGTATTGCGAAATTAATATGAAACTAAAATTTTGTAAAAAATCTTATTATTACATAAGCGTTAATAATTAAAGAGCTTGAACCATCAACCCCAGCAAATCGCATTTTTATGCAAGTTCAACAGACAACCCCACCAGTTTATAACAAAACAGATGCAACTCTGAGAAGAGATTTTTATAATTCAAAACTGATTAAAGCAGAAAATGTAAAAAACAGCAACGAAAAGAGCAGTTAACCCACACAAGCGAACAGATGTCAGAAACAAGCATTTCGTAGTTAAAACAAAGGAATTCGCAGCAAATGCAAAAGTAACTACATAGATCTAGGTATGTATGTATGTTGATGAGCACATATGCTGCAGTCAAAATGTGGTCGGTATTCATGCAACAAATGAGTGCTTGCAACACCTGCCACTATTAAAGTCAACTCCAAGCAACACGATGTACGCTTCGATGGATTATTGTATGCCACGCCGCTCACCTGTATTTAGAGCGAGCTCAAGGGTGAACAGCTGAGATTTAGGGAAATTATGCACATGCTTGTATATATATATGGGTAGTTATGCTGCTTTTGTAGACATGGCGCTGACATGCATTTAAGTTGGATTCAGTGAAGAATTGTTGTTGCAAGTTGGGTGAGTACTGCACTGAGGTGCAACAAAACCACAAGAATAGCTGTTGTTAAGCAGCAACACATTGGTTAATGCTTCTAAAGCCAACAGACACACACATATGTTGATTTTTAGGAAGGTATATGAGTATGTAGCGACTTTTGTGCAAAGCGTTGTCGTGTGTTTGCACTTTTTTGGGGAGACATTTTTGATTATAAGCTTTTATATATGTGTGTGAGCTTGCGTTTTTTATGTAGTTATGTTTTTTTGTAAATTTTTTTTGTGGTCAGACACGCAGGTTTGCCAGTATTATTATTCGATGATATATACTAATTTTATATTTAAAAGCAATCATGGCGCGTATATACTATATAGAAAAATGCATAGAGTCGGGTTTAGCATATTTTGACTAAATATTGGTACTTCTGACAAAGATACACCACTCCAAAACTCCCGCTTACTTTAACATTTGAGCTCACTTGCAACAAATTTCACTTTCCACTCTACTTTAATATAACAATTTGCTTACATATAAATATATATGTATACAACCGTATACACATCCAAACTTTTGTGCTTACTTCTAAAATAACTGCATGCTATGTGAATGCGCTTCAACTTCCTACAAGTAGTTGCATAAATTGCAGCTGCTTAATTTGCAAGAAACACTTCATGTGTATACACAATATTTATATATATATATGTGCCTCCATATGTATATAGCTATGTAAAGCTGAGTCATTTAATAGCTGCATCGAAAACTTCTCATAAACTTCTAGCTAAACGCCAACTAATTAGCAGTGAAGCACTTTTTCAAGTTTCAGGTAACTCATACGCCACGGCAAACGGGTGCATAGTTGTGAGAGTGCACTTTTCGCATGACACAGTGAGTTATATGGTAATAAAAGCGATTTCTCATTTATGAACAGCCACTTTATTTAAAAGTTTATTGCTGTAATATTTTATTAGAAACTAAGAAAGCAACAAAGCGCATGAAATTTGTAGTTCCACAAAAATAGATATAAATGCTATGTTTTTATCGATATTCTACAACTTACCACTATGTGCTCTATTCTAAAAATAGTTTCAAAATACCATATTAATATTTTATCGATAAAAATCGATTAATAGTAGAAAGTAATTTAACAATCGATAGATATAAGTGCATGATCTAAGCGCCAATATAAATTTCGTTTTAGCATATAATGAATAAAAAATAATTTAAAAATTAAAAAATAAATAAAAAGTTACGATATAAGAAAAATAAATCTTTATATAAAATTATCGATATTTTTTTTTACCAAATTACTGTCATATATTGTTTTCAATTACAATACCAAAGAGAGGAAATGTGTTTGTTAAGTATAAAAAGTAAGAAAAACCAGCAAAAAATATCGATAATTTGCTATCGAAAACTGCTATAATGAAATTTGCTCATATATTATAGTTTTAACTAAATTAAAAAACAAAATTTTCAAACTAAAGGCCGTTTTTATGTAAAAGCATACAAAACATCGATAAACCATAAAAAATAAATTTAAATAATTTGTATGGAGAAAAATTCGCATATTCTGTAATACCACACTAAACAAAGGACATCACATCAATGGTAACATAAATCTTTCTACCTAAAACAATAAAAAAAATA